GTATAAGTTATTTCCACTGCCCCCCCCCATATTATAATTTGCCAAAACGTTTCTCCTGAGAAGGTTGTCAATAAAAAACTTTTTGTTTTGCTCAAAATAAACTTTGTGAGTGGGGTATTGAACAAACTATTTTGCATGCACAATGTTTTCACACAGGCTTGATCACGGCTCCAGTGAAAGTACTGTATTTAATGCAAGTAGATACTTTTATGATAAATATGTCTTAGTGATGAATTCAATTACATCAACCTACTTGAACAGCAAATTCCACATCAGTCTTCGAACGCTCAATGAAATAATGGTAGACTGCAAAAGCCACATCCTCCATGTGTATGTACATATTTCTAAATTTGACACCATAATGTCAGTATTGCTACACAGTTGTGATTTTCTATCAATTTCTATTAGCCATTTCCCAATCGAGTAGAGGACTGGGTCTAGTCGCTTGTTTGGAGGGACAAAAAATACACAATATGCCGAATATGGCATCTAGGAAGTTTTCCTACATTCCTATAAAGTTATTTGTGCAGCCTGAAATGCAACAATTATAATAAGGCATCTTTTATTAATATATATTTAGCTCGCTCACTATAACTTGTTGTCCCTCCAAACATCAACTAGACCCATTCCTCTGCTCGACTGGGAAATGGCTAATTCCATAATGGACATTACATTACATTACATTACATTACATTACATTACATTACATTACATTACATTACATTACATTACATTACATTACACTGATAAATTCAAAAAGGAACAAGAAAAACTGGGCAAGGAACAAATGTAATTAACCCCCCCCCCCCCCAAATAAATCTGAGAATAAGTTATTTCCCCTATCTCCCCAATAAATCTGAGTATAAGTCATTTCCCCGCCTCCCCAATAAATCTGAGTAAGTTATTTCCTCAGCCTCCCCAATAAATCTGAGTATAAGTTATTTCCCCCGCCTCCCCAATAAATCTGAGTACAAGTTATTTCCCCCGCCTCCCCAATAAATCTGAGTAAAGTTATTTCCTCAGCCTCCCCAATAAATCTGAGTATAAGTTATTTCCCCAGCTTCCCCAATAAATCTGAGTATAAGTTATTTCCCCTGCCTCCCCAATAAATCAGAGTATATGTTCTTTCCTCCGCCTCCCCAATAAATCTGAGTACAAGTTATTACTTACACAAGTTGTGGTAAGTATTTATCCACATCTGAACGATCAAGACTCTGGATAAATTAGAGTAAAACATTAAATCGTTAGCTCATTAACCCATCTGCCAGGCACATTTCGCACCTAATGACACACATTTTAAACCAAAGAGCACCAGCTTTCTCCTGCTAAAGAGAAAAGTCATCTGGTGTTAGACAGAGTAAAACAATAAAGTAGGCCGCATTCGGACATGGACAGATTAACCCATTGAGTGGCAACGCTCTTCCCCTTTATTTAATATCGGTATATAAAATTTGGCTGATCTAAATTGGGAAATTACTGGCTAAATGAAAACAGAGTATAACATCATCCTATCTACACCTCCCCCATTGGCAAGATTTTCCAAGGAAATTCCACATTTCCAAGGGGTAGTGAAAAATCTCAATTTCTGTTGTGAATTGTGACAAAAACATTTCAAAAGTAGTCAAGAAGTGTGTCGTGAGAGAATGGGAATCAATTCGGAAGGAGACAAGAAGTAACTTTGACAGAATGGGAAATCAATCCTCAATGGGACAAGAAGTACATGTAGGTCGTGACAGAATGGCAATCTGTTCCGAAGGGCACAAGAAGTAGTCGGGAAAGAATGGGAATCAATTCTGAAGGGAACAAGACGTAGTTACGACAGAAGGGGAATCAATTCTAAAGGGGAGAAAAAGTTGGTTGTCACAGAATGGGAAGCATTCCCAAAGGGGCATTTCAATGATTTCCAAACATATTAAGGCCCATCTAGATGATACGACTAGTCGTATACGATTCTTATCCTGGCGTTTGTACTCGAATAAATGCGTGTAAAGATGTCACATTTCAAACTTCACCGTAAACTGATGGACAGGAATAGTGGCATCTGCAATCGTTTTCATACGCCAGGATAAGAATTGTTTATGACTAGTCATATCGTGTAGATGGATGGGCCTTAAGAGTTAACAAATTTCCCTTAAATTTGTTAAAAATGAACAAATTTCTGTGGGGTTGGAATTGTTATGGCTTTCGAAGGCACTATTGTCAGATCAAGTGCCTTTCACCTCCGATATCTTGGCTTTGATTCTCACTGCGGATTCGTGGCACTTATGTGAAAATAGTCACGCTCTACCGATAATCTACTGATAACCCGTTTTCTGCGGGTACTCCAGTTTTCTTCCACAGGGAATGTTGACAGAGTGGGTTGGGGGATAAGACCCAAACTGACCATTTCACTATGGCTGTGCTCAGAGATGAGTCATAAGGCGTCCTTAGAAAGCCTTCTACTTGATCAGGTTGGGCTGCATCCATTGCAAATCAGTTTAGCTCTCAGCTGCATGCAAGTAAGGATAATCAGCACACCCCCACATTATTATTAAAAAAAAAATTCTAAAGGAGTATAGATCACATATACTTACGAATAACTTGTTTCCCAAGTACGTCTGAACGCCAGACTCCTTTGACTTGAAGAGGTAGGACATCGCTATCGACATATCGAACAGCTTTGATTCAAACAGCCGTAGCAAGAGGCATGAGCTACTTTTCTGAGATGACGAAGCACTCTTTTCCCTAATTCCATTCAGTATCTTCTCTTTAATTCCGTTACATTTGGACTTGTTATCAATACTGTCCTCGTTAGGGCTTGTACTGTTATTTGGTAAATCCTTACATTCTTCATTAGGGATCGTACTGCTATCAGCCAAATCTTTATTGTCTTCATTAGGGCCTGTAGTGCCTACAGATGTATCTTTACCGACTTCATTAGGAGTCATTTTGTCACTAACGAGCGCTGAATCTTTCCCGTCAGAACCGTTGTTATTCTCGGACGTGCTCTTATTTCGAAAACGATGAAATATCGACTTTTTGTGCATCAATTTCTTGCTTTCCTCTTCGACGACAAGAGACTCGACGGCATCTTCCATAATTCAACTTATGACAACCAAAGTACAAGCATCTTGCAACTTTCAAAACCCATTTCCTTTACAAAGGCAATATAAAGGGGGAATTATCTGCTTATATAGGTACTGAGTTCAAGGTTCAAATATCATGTAACACCCTAGAATATCCAAATTATGCAACGTTGAAACCCTTCGTGAAATACGATGCTTCAAAACACCACAGCACGACAACTACATTATATTTTGTAAACACTCGACAGAATGTAAACAATGTTTTGAAAACGATTTTATTAAGTCATTAACAACATACAGTAAAATAACCTTAACAATGACTTAAACAAAGGTCTCTCGGGTCTATTGAAGCGAGCATGTTTACGAAAAGTTTTGAACTAAAACAAGAATGTACAAATATGTAACCGCTTTAATAGTGGACAATATGAAACATTTTGACTCAAAACAGATGTTTATAGCGTAGTCTGATTTGATATTTTGTCAAATTTACGGAGATAATTACGGTAAATAACAGGACAGAAAATAGGCTATATATAATGCTTACACGTTCTGGCAAAGTTCCACTTTTCTAAAGTCTGTGTAACGGAAAGATACACGGAAACGATACAGAATTATACTCACTTTGACAGCAAGCTGCAAGTTCCCCGTTCTTTTCTCGACTCCAAGTTCAAACACAAAGCGAATTTCTGACGAATTTTCGTTCGTAGAGCGTCATTGAAGTTTGTAACCAGTTAAAGATTCGCTCGGACGAGGATCAGCCACGAGCATTTTGCGGTTTTGGCATAAAATTTCTTTGTTTTATGCGATGTTGTACTTGCTTTGTGCCAAAGTCCTTCTTTTTGAATTTGACCGCGCGCCCAAGGAAGTAGTCTAGAACCGAGTAGGAAAATACGAAGGTTTGTGTCGGTGATGATACACCAAGGCAAGGTCGAGGCGAATGAACTAAATTAATTAACTAACTTTATTAATTAATACCGGTCCTGATAGAGATCGTGATTGTCAATTTATATAAAACCATTTCTCCCCAGATGTATGTCATCGACAACAGCTGACCTAGAAAGCTTGTGAAAGGCTGAAAGCCAACCTATGACTATGACTAGCGGTCAAACTCGAAGCCCCGGGACTCAGAGATGGCCAGGTAGTCACGCAGCTATGTAGTCACGTGCAGTGGTCACGTACACATGCAAAAGTCTCACATCCTGTAGTAAGTCTGCCAACAAGTCGTCTTCGCACTGCTTGTCCCAAGTTGTCAACAAGTTTGGAACAGACTGTTAACAATTTGTAACGACTTGTTGATATTATCATACTTGTTGCAAGGTTGTTCCAACAAGTCCGATACAGTCATGATATAACAATATTGTTACAACCTTGTGTCGTCAACCTTGTAACATTCTTGTTATATCATGACTGTATCAGACTTGTTAGAACTTTGCTACAAGTCTGATAATGCCATCAAGCTTGTTACAAGTTGTTATAAACAGCTTGTTTCAAACCTGTTACAACAACTGGGAACAAGCAGTGCGAACACAACTTGTCGACAGCTTGTGAACAGATTTGTAACAACTTGTTTGCAGACCTGTAACAACTTGTGCGTTTTTACGCGGTGCAGCCAACGTACACACGTAAAAACGTACAAGTTGTAACAAACCTGCAGCAGACTTGTAGCAATGCTGTTCCAACAACATGTTAACAGGATGTGTTCGCACTGCTTGTTCCCAGCTTGTTGACAAATTGTCAACGAACTTGTCAACAACTTGTTGCAAGGTTGTCGAGTTCAACACACTTGTTACAAGTTGTTCCAACAACTTGTTATCGTCCTGCAATTCAACAACTTGTCAACAAATTGTGAATGACAGCCTTGTAGCAACTTGATAAAATAACAGCAGTGTTGCAACTTGTTGACAAGCTTGCTACAAGCTTGTTGCGAACACATCTTGTTAACAAGTTGTGAGATTTTTACGTGTGCTTCGAACAACTTGTTGACAACTTGTAGCAACCTTCTCGAAATTATCAGACCTGTTGCAAGCTTGTTCTGACAAGTCCGTTACATGTTTGATTATACAAGATTGTTACAACCTTGTGTTGACAACCTTGTAACATTCTTGTTATATCATGGCTGTAACAAACTTGTTAGCACAGTCTCGTAACAAGGCTGATAATGCCATCAAGCTTGTTACAAATTGTTAACAGCTTGTTCCAAACTTGTTACAACGAACTGGGAACAAGCAGCGCGAACACAACTTGTTGACAGCTTGTGAACAGATTTGTAACAACTGTTTGCAGACTTGTTACAAATTGTGCCTTTTTACGTGTGTAAGTTGTCTTCGCACTGCTTGTCCCAAGTTGTCAACAAGTTTGGGACAAGCTGTTAACAACTTGTAACAACCTTGTTGATATTATGAGACTTGTTGCAAGGTTGTTCCAACAAGTCCGATACAGTCATGTTATAACAATATTGTTACAATCTCGTGTCGCCAACCTTGTAACATTCTTGTTACATCATGATTGTCTCAGTCGTGTTAGAACAACCTTGTGACAAGTGTGATAATGCCATCAAGCTTGTTACAATGCAAGTTGTTAACAAACTTGTTTCAACAACTGGGAAAAAGCAGTGCGAACACAACTTGTCGACAGCTTGTGAACAGACTTGTAAAACTTGAATTGTTTGCAGGTTTGTTACAATTTGTACGTTTTTACGTGGTATACACAAGTAAAGACGCACAAGTTGTAACAAACCTGCGGCAGACTTGTAGCAATGCTGTTCCAACAACTTGTCAACAGGATGTGTTTGCACTGCTTGTTCTAGCTTGTTGACAAGTTGTCAACAACTTGTTGACAACTTGCAACAATGTTGTTGAGCTCATGTAACTAGAGAGTTCGTGGACATGAAAAGCAAGTTTTTCCAGCAGCATGTGTAAGCGAAAAAAACGTGAGAGTTAATATTATGCTGTTTCGAACCTTATGTTCTATTGAATTTCAAGGCTCCTGTAGGAAAAACTAGAATTTGGCAAGGTCTGAAAATTGTATTTTTGAAATCTAGGGACAATAGGCTTTCTGTTGAAGCCTTATTCTTGCATAACTAGGAAGTTCGTGGACATAAAAAGCAAGTTTTCCCAGCTGCATGTGTAAGCGAAAAAAAACGTGAAAGTTAATATTATGTTGTTTCGAACCTTATGTTCTATTGAATTTCAAGGCCCCTGTAGCAAAAACTAGAATTTGGGCTGGTATAAAAATTGTAGTTTTAGAATCTATAATCAATAGGATTTCGGTCGATGCCTTACTAGTGCATCACTAGACTGGTCCGTGGACGTAAACGGCAGGTTTCTCCAGCTGTGTAAGCGAAAAAAACGTGAAAGTTAATATTATGCTGTTTCGAACCTTATGTTCTATTGAATTTCAAGGCTCCTGTAGGAAAAACTAGAATTTGGCAAGGTCTGACAATTGTATTTTTCCAATCTAAAGACAATAGGCTTTCTGTTGATGCCTTATTCTTGCATAACTAGAGAGTTCGGGGACATAAAAAGCAAGTTTTTCCAGCTGCATGTGTAAGCGAAAAAACGTGAAAGTTAATATTATGCCGTTTCGAACCTTATGTTCTATTGAATTTCAAGGCCACTGTAGCAAAAACTAGATTATGCGCTGGTATGAAAATTGTAGTTTTCGAATCTATAATCCATAGGCTTTGTGTCGATACCTTACTCGTGCATCACTAGACTGGTCCGTGGACGTAAACGGCAGGTTTCTCCAGCTGTGTAAGCGAAAAAAACGTGAAAGTTAATATTATGCTGTTTCGAACCTTATGTTCTATTGAATTTCAAGGCTCCTGTAGGAAAAACTAGAATTTGGCACGGTCTGAAAATTGTATTTTTGGAATCTACGGACAATAGGCTTTCTGATGATGCCTTATTCTTGCATAACTAGAGAGTTCGTGCACATAAAAAGCAAGTTTTTCCAGCTGCATGTGTAAGCGAAAAAAACGTGAAAGTTAATATTATGCCGTTTCGAACCTTATGTTCTATTGAATTTCAAGGCTCCTGCAGGAAAAACTAGAATTTGGCACGGTCTAAAATTGTATTTTTGGAATCTAGGGACAATAGGCTTTCTGTTGATGCCTTATTCTTGCATAACTAGAGAGTTCGTGGACATAAAAAGCAAGTTTTTCCAGCAGCATGTGTAAGCGAAAAAAACGTGGAAGTTAATATTATGCTGTTTCGAACCTTATGTTCTATTGAATTTCAAGGCCACTGTAGCAAAAACTAGATTATTCGCTGGTATGAAAATTGTAGTTTTGGAATCTATAATCCATAGGCTTTGTGTCGATACCTTACTCGTGCATCACTAGACTGGTCCGTGGACGTAAACGGCAGGTTTCTCCAGCTGTGTAAGCGAAAAAAACGTGAAAGTTAATATTATGCTGTTTCGAACCTTATGTTCTATTGAATTTCAAGGCTCCTGTAGGAAAAACTAGAATTTGGCACGGTCTGAAAATTGTATTTTTGGAATCTACGGACAATAGGCTTTCTGATGATGCCTTATTCTTGCATAACTAGAGAGTTCGTGCACATAAAAAGCAAGTTTTTCCAGCTGCATGTGTAAGCGAAAAAAACGTGAAAGTTAATATTATGCCGTTTCGAACCTTATGTTCTATTGAATTTCAAGGCTCCTGCAGGAAAAACTAGAATTTGGCACGGTCTAAAATTGTATTTTTGGAATCTAGGGACAATAGGCTTTCTGTTGATGCCTTATTCTTGCATAACTAGAGAGTTCGTGGACATAAAAAGCAAGTTTTTCCAGCAGCATGTGTAAGCGAAAAAAACGTGGAAGTTAATATTATGCTGTTTCGAACCTTATGTTCTATTGAATTTCAAGGCCACTGTAGCAAAAACTAGATTATTCGCTGGTATGAAAATTGTAGTTTTGGAATCTATAATCCATAGGCTTTGTGTCGATACCTTACTCGTGCATCACTAGACTGGTCCGTGGACGTAAACGGCAGGTTTCTCCAGCTGTGTAAGCGA